TAGATTATTTACAAATTTATCTAAGATTATTTAAAAATTTACCTTACGATCGCTTAGAACCTGACAAATCGACTAGATTATTTACAAATTTATCTAAGATTATTTAAAAATTTACCTTACGATCGCTTAGAACCTGACAAATCAACAAATTTATTTACAAATTCATCTACGATCGCTACAAATTTATCTAAGATTATTAATAAATTTATCTTACGATCGCTTAGAAGCTGACAAATCGAAAAATTTATTTACAAATTTATCTACGATCGCTACAAATTTATCTAGGATCATTTCCAAATTCATCCACGATCGCTTAGAAGCTGACGAATCGAAAAATTTATTTACAAATTTATCTAAGATTTTTTGACGAGTGTTTACAAATTTATCTACGATCGCTTGTGACCTGACGAAACGTCAAAAAACAATCAATCGATGATGCATCAAACTACTTATCCACGATTTATCTACGACTTGTTACGACAATTCATCTAATATTCTGTGACAAATATTTACAAATTTTATCAACAAATCTGTTTACAAACTTATCCACGATTTTGTGAAGATTTTCTGACCCCTGACCCCACAACCCCCGCGACCTTTGACTCACCTTCGACTACGTATAGCTTAGTTAGCGGGAACTCTATGCTTGCGGCGAGGGCCTCGATAGAAGAGCGGAGTTCTCCATCCCTCAGCGGCATGTAGCGGTCAAACAACGGAGCGATGAAGTCAGCGTAGACTGTCACCAACAGCTGCGCGAGAAAGGGAGAGTCAGCATTGTGCATGCGTGGCGCCCATCTATAATTGCGGGGCAGGAGGGGGTGGAGAGAGGTCTGGATTGAATGACTTTATATATATTATATATATATATATATTTGAACTAAATATTTAGTGGGGTTTGGGGTATAGAGAGGTGGCAGAGTGGGTAGTTGTGATTAAATTCCTTTATGTAATATTTTTTAACATATAAATAATAAAATAAATAACGACATAAATTATTAATGCTGTTTACTAAACTACATTATGCTTCACATTTACCATTTCATTGTCTGTTTGTTTTACCCAGGTGTTTATGCCATAACGTATGGGAAAATAAACATTAAATTGTAAAGACAATGGGTTACTGTTATCATGCATAAGCCATTGTCTTTCGAAATTAACGTTTAAAACCAAACGTCAATTCCACAATTTAAATACAGTGGTGCTCCCAAACTGCATGCAGCGCCCCCTTCGTACAACTCAGGATACCACTGCCACAAAGCTGGTACTATTTTTCAAGTGGGCGGAGCTCCGAGTTAATCCAGCGAATGGTAATCCAATAACCGCGTATGATTTGAAAGTAGTAAATGGGCACACAATCCGCGCACTATTTCGTATCACTATTTTATCAAATTTTTCATAAAATAATGGTCGGATTTTTAATATCTTTCCAACTTTTATTAGTACAAATCTTATTACATAGGATACGAGTAACCTGGCCACTGTAAAACTTGTGAAAAAAAAAGCGTTAGAAATTCTCACGCAAATCTACTTGTGGCAGTCGTGAATTAAGCACATGAGCGAGAGCGCCATCTGTCGTGGAGTTTGTGGCGCTCCCTACACACACCAGCGCCCTCTATACTCACCAGCGACGTGACGAACATGAACAGCCATGTGTAGATGAAGAAGTAGTCGCCGCCGAACTTGATGACTGTGATGAGAAGTGCCACCAGGGGCAGCGCGATCGCCTGCATGATGACAAACTTCTTCGTCGTGTCCCAGAGGAAGAAACGCAGCGTCTGTGAGCGAGCGAGAGAGAGAGAGAGAGAGATAACGATCTGGGAGGGATGACGTAGGACTCACACAGGCGCACATGCACGCACGTACACACGCGCGCACGCACGCACGCACAAACGCACGTACACACGCGCGCACACACACGCGCACGCATGCACAAGAGATAACGTTGACGCGGATGAAGTAGGACACTGACACACACGTCTGTATGTCTGTCTGTCTGTCTGTCTGTCTTTCTCCCTGACTCTTTCTCGCTCTCTCTCTCTCTCTTTCCCTCCTTCCCTCTCTCTCTCTTTCTCTCTCTCTCTCTCTCTCTCTCTCTCGTCTCTACTGCCCCTCTCCTCGATTCTCTCCCTCTCTCTCTCTTTCTCTTCTCCTTCCCTGCCTTCTCTCTCTTTCTCTCTCCTCTCTCTCTCCTCTCGCTCCTTTCTGCTCTACCCTCCGCTTCCGCTCTCCGCTCTCTCCCTCCTTCCCTCTCTCTCCCTCTTCCCTCTCTCTATCTCCCTTCCCTCTCTCTCTTCTCTCCCTTCCCTCTACTACACACACACCTGCTTGTGAATCCATGTTTCTCTTCCACGACGAACGACGTACAAGCCTCACGGCATTGACGATATCGTCGAAATAAACCGACCAACAGCAGCAGAACGCCATCGACTGCCGTGATCTTGAAACCGAGATCAATAGACGAATCAATCGATCGATACATCAATGAGTTATGATCTGATCTATTTTAATAAATATAAAACGTAAGCGTCGTAAAATATCGTAAATTAATCGTAAAAATATAAGATGAAAAAAATTATTGTGTGTAATTATATAATATATTTATTCATCAAAATATTCATCTACCTGATAAATAACAAATTTAAGCTATGGTAACGAAATCAATCAATTAATTAATCGATTATCGAATTAATCAAACTCGTCCTCTTGCGCGTGTACCCCCAACGGACCAATCAGCGGTCACCGCGCCTTCGCGCTTCCATAGAAACGGCGATGCCCGACTATCAACCAGGCATCGCCTGCCAAGAGAATGCACAACGCTTACATCACCACGGCAACCGTAGAGGCGTGCTGGGCCGAACGGTGCGCACCCCCGCGCTAATTTAGCAATTTCCTTTTACGCAAAATGCTAATTCCTCGTAAAGAAGATTGTCAAACGAGAAAAGAATGATCGGATGATGAAGTAGCGATTATAGTGAGAAAGGGAGTAGGAAGAGAAGTGCAATGCCGCCGTGATGTCACCGCGGGCAACCTGTACTGTCGTAAATGGGACTCGCGCTGTCGTCGCAGCAACCCCGCGTCGTCACAGCAACCGCACTGCCGTCACGGTAAGCCTCCATGCGTCACAACAACCACGGCTGTCATGGTGGCGACCGCAACCCATCCGGTCCCCCCACGAACGATCCTGCGTGTCGT